AGACACAAAATGACTACAAAGAGACACAAAATGACTACAAAGAGACGCAAAATGACTTCAAAGAGACACAAAATGACTACAAAGAGACGCAAAATGACTTCAAAGAGACACAAATGACTACAAAGAGACACAAAATGACTACAAAGAGACACAAAATGACTTCAAAGAGACGCAAAATGACTTCAAAGAGACACAAAATGACTACAAAGAGACACAAAATGACTTCAAAGAGACACAAAATGACTACAAAGAGACACAAAATGACTTCAAAGAGACACAAAATGACAAATGACTTCAAAGAGACACAAAATGACTACAAAGAGACACAAAATGACTACAAAGAGACGCAAAATGACTTCAAAGAGACACAAAATGACTACAAAGAGACACAAATGACTTCAAAGAGACACAAAATGACTTCAAAGAGACGCAAAATGACTTCAAAGAGACACAAAATGACTACAAAGAGACACAAAATGACTTCAAAGAGACACAAAATGACTACAAAGAGACGCAAAATGACTTCAAAGAGACACAAAATGACTACAAAGAGACACAAAATGACAAATGACTTCAAAGAGACACAAAATGACTACAAAGAGACACAAAATGACTTCAAAGAGACACAAAATGACAAATGACTTCAAAGAGACACAAAATGACTTCAAAGAGACACAAAATGACTTCAAAGAGACACAAAATGACTACAAAGAGACGCAAAATGACTTCAAAGAGACGCAAAATGACTTCAAAGAGACACAAAATGACTACAAAGAGACACAAAATGACTTCAAAGAGACACAAAATGACTACAAAGAGACACAAAATGACTACAAAGAGACGCAAAATGACTTCAAAGAGACGCAAAATGACTTCAAAGAGACACAAAATGACTACAAAGAGACACAAAATGACTACAAAGAGACACAAAATGACAAATGACTACAAAGAGACACAAATGACTTCAAAGAGACACAAAATGACTTCAAAGAGACACAAAATGACAAATGACTTCAAAGAGACACAAAATGACTTCAAAGAGACACAAAATGACTTCAAAGAGACACAAAATGACTTCAAAGAGACACAAAATGACAAATGACTTCAAAGAGACACAAAATGACTTCAAAGAGACACAAAATGACTTCAAAGAGACACAAAATGACTTCAAAGAGACACAAAATGACTACAAAGAGACGCAAAATGACTTCAAAGAGACACAAAATGACTACAAAGAGACACAAAATGACTACAAAGAGACACAAAATGACTACAAAGAGACGCAAAATGACTACAAAGAGACGCAAAATGACTTCAAAGAGACACAAAATGACTTCAAAGAGACACAAAATGACTACAAAGAGACGCAAAATGACTTCAAAGAGACACAAAATGACTACAAAGAGACACAAAATGACTACAAAGAGACACAAAATGACTACAAAGAGACGCAAAATGACTACAAAGAGACGCAAAATGACTTCAAAGAGACACAAAATGACTACAAAGAGACACAAAATGACTACAAAGAGACACAAAATGACTACAAAGAGACACAAAATGACTACAAAGAGACGCAAAATGACTTCAAAGAGACACAAAATGACTTCAAAGAGACGCAAAATGACTTCAAAGAGACACAAAATGACTACAAAGAGACACAAAATGACTACAAAGAGACGCAAAATGACTTCAAAGAGACACAAAATGACTACAAAGAGACACAAAATGACTTCAAAGAGACACAAAATGACTTCAAAGAGACACAAAATGACTACAAAGAGACACAAAATGACTTCAAAGAGACACAAAATGACTACAAAGAGACACAAAATGACTTCAAAGAGACACAAAATGACTACAAAGAGACACAAAATGACTACAAAGAGACGCAAAATGACTTCAAAGAGACACAAAATGACTACAAAGAGACACAAAATGACTACAAAGAGACACAAAATGACTACAAAGAGACACAAAATGACTTCAAAGAGACACAAAATGACTTCAAAGAGACACAAAATGACTACAAAGAGACACAAAATGACTACAAAGAGACACAAAATGACTTCAAAGAGACACAAAATGACTTCAAAGAGACACAAAATGACTTCAAAGAGACACAAAATGACTTCAAAGAGACACAAAATGACTACAAAGAGACACAAAATGACTACAAAGAGACACAAAATGACTACAAAGAGACACAAAATGACTTCAAAGAGACACAAAATGACTACAAAGAGACACAAAATGACTACAAAGAGACACAAAATGACTTCAAAGAGACACAAAATGACTTCAAAGAGACACAAAATGACTTCAAAGAGACACAAAATGACTTCAAAGAGACACAAAATGACTTCAAAGAGACACAAAATGACTTCAAAGAGACACAAAATGACTTCAAAGAGACACAAAATGACTACAAAGAGACACAAAATGACTACAAAGAGACACAAAATGACTACAAAGAGACACAAAATGACTACAAAGAGACGCTAAAGTACTAGAAAGGGATTTAGAATGACTAGTGTCTAACATTGTAACCCTGCTGGTAATCCCCAATTTGTTTTTGTAACTCGACTCTAACTTTAACCGTCCTGACTTCAATAACCTCTCTTCAATAACTGACACTGTGCGCCCCCTGCAGGCCAAAGCGGGCATTGTGATGAACGTCATCGGGATCGGCTGCATCAGTCTGGCCATCAACACCTGGGGTCACGTGATCTTTGGACTGGACACCTTCCCCTCGTGGGCAAACGCCACGGCGCCGGTGTAGAACCAACAACCCTCTGTTTCCACCTGTCCACACTGCGGCTTCTGAGCCAATAGGAACGCTGTCGTCATGTTCTGAGTTTCTACCTTATAACGTTTGAAAACTGTTGACAAAATCGTACGACAATCGGGACCCAAACTCAGATAACAATGGGTCTAAACAAAGCATTGGATTATTATCCGATAGGGTCATAACTTCATAATTAAGTACGTCTGAAAGCAGAAGTCTACGGTGAATAATTGCAAGTCTCTTCAGTGCGCATGTCACAAAATGAGATGCATTGTGGGACATGTAGTTTATGGGCAACGTGCTTCTGTAAAGTGGCATGTAACCGTATTATAAACGTATTTTATTCTTTCAGAGCTTTTGCGGGCCACGTAAAGGAGTAAACAGAAAGGTGACTGGAGCACTAAATATAACAAACGTTGAAGAAATACAGTCTTTTACTGTGGCGGGGCTTCCGCAGGAAGTAAACGCCAAACACGTTATATCAGCAGTGGATGTACAATTTAAAAAAAATGTAGTTTTAAGGTTATTTATTTATTTTTAAAAGACCATGATTAGAATATTGTTAGAATTTAAATCCTAGAAAATCTATTATTTTAACACTTTGTAAGAATAATGATGTTTTATTTTGTTAGATTACTGTCATGTAGGTTTTTCAAATTTAAAAGTGCACAAACCAAGAATCACGTGATACCTCTGGCTGAGAACACTTTTTTATAAACAACATCAATACTATTTTTATAAACTTTTATTTCCTGCCATTTCTTCTTTACCGTTTTTTAAAATCAACATTAATGTACTTTTCAGGTTTTTCAAAATAAAAGCCTTGAACCAAAAGCGTTCTCACCTCTATGATGTGAAAACGATTTATTTGTAACGCCTATATTTAGTTTTTAAGTACGAATTCATCTAATCTCTTATACTGCTGTTGATGTTGTCGTTGTTGTTGTTGTTGTTGTTGTACTGCTGTCTTTTTGATAACCGATGCACTACTGTCAAATGGGTTTTTCAAATTAAAAGCATCCACCTATTAACGGGAGGAATGAATTTACTGGAAGTTTTTTAATTCTTAATATTTTTTACCTAAAAATTGAATAAGATCTGCAGACACACACACCCACCCACACACACACACACACACACACAACACACACACACACACACACACACACACACACACACACACACACACGCACGCACACACACACACACACACAACACGCACTGCACTCACACCCATACACGCACGCACACACACACACACACACACACACACACACACACACACACACACACTCACACACACACACACACACACACACACACACACACTCTCACACACACACACACACACACACACACACACACACTCACTCACTCACTCACTCACTCACTCACTCACTCACTCACTCACACACACATTCACTCTCTCACACTCACTCACTCTCACACACACACACTCACACACTTTTTTACCTACAAATTGAATAAGATCTGCAGAAAAATGTATATGATATGTTTTATTTATCAAGGCTGTGTTATTTTGCATCAACAACAAATTAAATCGGGGAATAAGAAATCAAGTTATGTGTCTTTTTTATTGTTTAAATACAATTTTATATTTGTGTTGTTTTTAATTAAAGTCTAATATCTGGGAATCTAATTTCCACCTAAAACTAGAAGCTTTTATTGTTTTTTTTAAATTATCATTTGCTATACTGACAACTGTACGACTCCTATCCCTGTAGATTGGAATTAACGGTACGTCCACACGGCGGCGTGCGTTGAAGCTTCAACGGAGACGCTTCCCCTTCACTTTGAATGGGGTGACGTCACGCTTTGCCGAACTGCATTGTGGTTCCGTCGCTTTGCCTCCGTTGCTCGCTTCGAAAGTTGAGAAAAGTTCAATTTTTCAAGCGTCGACGGAAGCGTCAGCCAATCAAATCATATGCCAGTACAAGCTCTAGCCAATCAAACCGCGTGCTTGTGTGTCCGGGGCGGGACATTAATGTGATTGGTTGTTGGTCGCACGCCAGACACGCCCACCGGCAAGCTTCAACGCGACGCTGCCATGTGGACGTACCGTAAATTACATAATTAGAGCATTTTCTGTGTGTTTTCTCTGGTTTTGTATTTAAAGTGTTCATTAAATAACATGTGAGTGAGTACTGTACGTAACCTCCAGAGCTTTGTTTAACTCAAATAAAAGAATTAAAAAAATTATGACAACAAGCGTTTGCTTTTACTTTTCTACAATATTAATTATATTTAGCTCGGTTCCTGCTTTTAAAATGTTTGAAAAATGCATTAAATATAAGCAAAATAATATAAATATTTCTATTGAATTATTTGTTCATTAATGTGTTTATCATCATTTTAATTACTTTACATAGTGATGGGTAGTTTAATCTGAAAAGTAGGACAATTCAAATCATTAAACTAAAATAGATTCTAAAATAATAATAAGAAACAATTACTAAGAAAAATAAGAATAATTAAATACTCATAATAATTTTTTTTTAAATATGAAATGATAGTAACAATAATAATAATCAAAATAATGTAAAATATGTAAAAAAAATAATAATAGCATTTAAATAACAATAATAATACTTGTGGCTCAAATGTAGACTCTACATACATATTAAATCAGCAGTAATATTATATATATAATATTAGTCTATAAAAACAGAGTGGAAACTGAATAAAGCGTGTGTGTGTGTGTGTGTGTGTGTGTGTGTGTGTGTGTGTGTGTGTGTGTGTGTGTGTGTGTGTGTGGTGTGTGTGTGTGTGTGTGTGTGTGTGTGTGTGTGTGTGTGTGTGTGTGTGTGTGTGTGTGTGTGTGTGTGTGTGTGTGTGTGTGTGTGTGAGGTGGTACTGCAGTAAAGCATCTGAATACTTCTTTTAACTCTGTTTTACAATTTAAAAAAATGCATGAATAATCACCCTTTGGACATTCTTTAATAAAATGTGTAAAACTCTGTCAGCAGCATTTTTTGTAACGTTATAATCTTTATATATACAGTCTATTGTTATAATATATATTTTTTTATATAAAACCTTGTTGGGAAATGTCTCCCTCTGGCGGTCACATTGAGAACAGCCGTTACCGTAAACTGACGTAAAGTGTCGTCAAATGAAAAGAGTACTGGTTTCTGGCAAATATGGCTTCAATCTCCTGATCCCAGTGACAACAAAGACCCCACAGACTGGTTTATTCATCACTGACTGGTTTATTCACCTTTTTTCCAGTTTACCAGTTTATATAATCGGTTATTTACCGACTGTTAACGTTTCCGGCACCGTATCTGTCTACAGCCGTCGTCATGGAGACAGGTTAGTAGCCGTTATTTAGCTTCGACGAAACTCCAGAAAAATACAAGAGTTTTATTTCTAATAAACATTTCTGTACCTTTTATATAATAACGTTTTATAAACTATCCACATTATCTACAAGAGCAGGGGTGTAAAGTACATTTACTCAAGTACAGTACTTAAATACACTTTTAGAGGTACTTGTTATGCTACTGTGTTCTTCTACTCCACTACAGTTCAGAGGTAAATGGTGTACTTTTTCTCCACTACATGTATTTAATCCCTCTAGTTACTTCACAGATGTGGATGAATGATGTGAAATATAATCAAGTGTTAAATCAGACTTTAGTTCCACCTGGAGTAAATTCACAAGCTACCCTGCAGTCATTCAAACTAGCTGCACCTTTACCAGCTTTGAGAACACTTTCATGATCAATCATTATAAAACATATCATAGATATTATTCTGAAATGGACCAATCTGCACAATGACTACTTTTACTGTCGCTACTTTAACTATATTTTGATGATAATACTTTTCTACTTTACTTGAGGAACATTTTGAATGCAGTACTTTTACTGTAACAGAGTATTCCTACACTCTACTTTTACTCAAGTACAAGATCTGAGTACTTCTACTTTTACTCAAGTACAAGATCTGAGTACTTCTACTTGTACTCAAGTACAAGATCTGAGTACTTCTACTTTTACTCTAGTACAAGATCTGAGTACTTCTACTTTTACTCTAGTACAAGATCTGAGTACTTCTACTTTTACTCAAGTACAAGATCTGAATACTTCTACTTTTACTCAAGTACAAGATCTGAATACTTCTACTTTTACTCAAGTACAAGATCTGAATACTTCTACTTTTACTCAAGTACAAGATCTGAGTACTTCTACTTTTACTCAAGTACAAGATCTGAGTACTTCTACTTTTACTCAAGTACAAGACCTGAGTACTTCTACTTTTACTCAAGAACAAGATCTGAGTACTTCTACTTTAACTCAAGTACAAGATCTGAGTACTTCTACTTTTACTCAAGAACAAGATCTGAGTAGGCTACTTCTACTTTTACTCAAGTACAAGATCTGAGTAGGCTACTTCTACTTTTACTCAAGTACAAGATCTGAGTAGGCTACTTCTACTTTTACTCAAGTACAAGATTGAGTACTTCTACTTTTACTCAAGTACAAGATCTGAGTACTTCTACTTTTACTCAAGTTCAAGATCTGAGTACTTCTACTTTTACTCAAGTTCAAGATCTGAGTACTTCTACTTTTACTCAAGTACAAGACCTGAGTACTTCTACTTTTACTTTTGGAACTTACTATATATACTATATTTAAAGTACATTCGGCATAACATTTCCTTTAGGATGTCTAACTTTTCCCAAACTT